AACAAACAAACAATAACTCAAACCGAACAAGCAATGAGAGACTCCCGCCAGAGGACAGAACACGAGTAGTCGTTTCACAACAGTTAGAGTAAGATATATATTTGAGATCACCAGAGGGTAACCTGAGAATAAAACAACAAGTAATGCATAGTTCACTGTGGATACACACATATAATCAAGTCAATGTTTCGCATCGCTACTCATCAGAATCAGATGACTCAGACGATGAACTGCGATCGTGGTTGCCTCGTATAACAGCTGAGGTTATTCGGGGACCTTTGCCACCGCCGTAACCTCGAACGGGCTCATTACGGTTCGGACTCCGATCTCTTCTTTCATCACGCGAATCTCTCGCAGCATGACGATTGCCTTGTGCACCGCTCGCTCCACCGCCATGTCGGTTATCTCGATCGAAACGACCGTAGTTATAGTCATTCATCCTTCCTACAGTTGTTAAAACGCACATTCACATTAACAACCACAACAACCTACCCCCGCCAGGACCGCCAGGTGCACCTCCTCTGCGATTGTTGTCTCGAAAATGACCAGGCGTTCCTCGATTACTTTGATCACGGCCACCTCCGAAACCACATGAGCTGCCCAATCCTCCACGTGATCCGTATTCACCACGAGGATTTGAGTAACCTCGTTGTGAATCGTTGTACGGCCGTTGGTTTCCGGACATCTCCCGTCGTCCTGCTGACTGATCACGTTGGTTCCCGCTATCACGGGCGAAGTAGCCTGACTGACCGTTTTCGTCGTCTGGAAAAGTGAATGAAAATAATCTGAGTTTTTCTACATGTCTGTTTTGGTTTTTCTTATTGGTGCATAACCTACACTTTTGTAATTATATCATCGGTGCTACTCTCGTTAACGTCACTTTCTCGACATTCTCTCTACAACAGTTTGCGGCTCACTGCCGGCTCAGACTATGCTACTCTGTTTAGCTTTATTGAATGATCACATGTGTTCCGGAGGGTCGAATATTCCACGAGTACTCACCTCGTTGTATTCTCCCTCTCAAAGTTCGACCACCGAGTGTTTTCTGATTACAAGCGTACAATGCTGCATTGCATTGTTCCGGGGTAGAAAATGTTACCTGAGCCACTCTAGAGAAGTCGTAGATTAGTAGTAATGAAATTACCCTCGCGATTGTCCTTGGTCATTCAGATTTAATATCACTTTGAACGCATCCACGAATTCACGTTTTATGTCGGCCTCGGTAGCTGAATAAGGTAGATTTGATACCGTCAAGGTGCATCCATGACGAGCTGTATCCGTTCTGGCCCCCGGTCGTTGTGGGGCAGACCGTGATTGCTCATGCCGCTCAGACCCAGTTTTATAGCGATCAGATATCATTTGCCGACGAGAATGATCACTTTGCTCGTTCGACTCTCGTGAGCGATGTGCCGCGCTTTGGTTGTATTGGACAGTTTCGCTCGCCGTTTGGCTTGGGTAATAACTGCTGTTGTCCGAAAACCCATAAGACTCTTCATATGAAGCACTCTGGCTGGACCGCCTCGGAACATCCACGTTCGTATATTTATTCGGAGCCTCGTTTTCACCAGCGTTCCAACCTGGAGAATAATTTGCAACAATCCTTCGAGTTAGTAAGAAAGTAATTGTGTGGATTACGAATAATTCTATGCGGATCGTGATACACCTCAAAATTCGTTCGCCAAACAACTTGACAGTAAAGCATGAACCAGAAGCTCTCATAGTAAAGTGAAGCCTTGNTATACACTTTGGTCTCTAGTCATGCTTTTGGCTTACATTGATTAGATTTTCTTGAACGGTTATCGCGTCAACGTGCTGTAAGCAGTTTCTTGCACGGCCGTGCAAATGCCACACATCTGCACTTCATGTATTCAGGGATTAGCGTCGGATAAGTAGGTCATAAAAAGGCTATTGGGAGCTTATTATTGCTAACAGCAAACGGAAATCCTACGCTACAACCTTAGCAGATTTGAAACACGAGTACACAATATTTACCAACAACCATTTGACTCACTTGAACAAAGCTCGACGTGGAGCATACGACCGCCAACAGTTTTACCATTTTGACATTCGGCGTACACTTTCTGACATTCATGGGGACTATCGAAGTGTACCGTGCACATGCTGTTTCACAGATATGAAACAGAGAGAGAGTAAACAGAGCACATTGGAGAGCGCTGAGCCACTTGGGGAGGGATGACAAAGCTGAAACGGTTTCTCGCACATAATAGCCTCATTTACACGTTCCGGTATTGGTCACGCACTTCTGAGGCTTGACCACACACAACAGTGTCGGTCGCCACGTGTGCTTTCCCGATGTGTGGCTGGAAAGGTGACAGAACTGTGTACTTTGCTCTCGTCTGCAAACATCATTTGCATCACCTGCTCACACAACACGGGGGTGGTAGAATGCCACACACCTGGTTCGTCGATGACAAAAAGGCAGAAAAGAGTAAAAGACTGGAGTTAGCAGACAACCCCACAGTGCTTAACGAGAGCGTCATATGAGACCTTCACCACACTATGCGCTTGGATTACCGGCTGTGACTACTTACCTCTGGGAACTACTCGAGTCCGTTTGACGATTCATGCGCACGTACTGGGCCGACGGGAAGATTGAACGCACGCCTCGCTCGTCGACGGCTTGTGGCAGATTGTACACAGTCAATGTCGTTGTTTGTATGATCGGATTGCGCGTTGTTGCAGCTGCCATCGGTTTTCAATCGCTGGAATAATCAAAATAGTTTCTTGTTCATGTGGAAAGACTGGGTGACGTACATAACATGGAGAATTGAAGAAAAAGAAAAAAATCGTTATGCAAAACTTTATTTCAAATATACATGGTGAGAAAGTCTGAATCAGGCGCGTCCTCTTCCACGGTTGCCTCTACCGCGGTTGTTAAAGTGTCCACGTCCTCGAAAGCCGTCACCTCCACCACCCCGACCGCGATGACCACCATGCTTAAATCCTCGGTTCTCGTGACCACCGCGTCCACCTTCACGACCCCCACCGCGATTTCCGAATCCGCGACCGGAATTGAATCCGCGGCCGCGATCGTTGAAGGAACCCCTGCCACGATTGTTGAAACCTCGTTTATGTTCGAACTTCGGCGACTGGAAGTTTTGTTTCTTCTCAAATGATTTATCTTGCTTCACCATCGGCATTTCTTCGTCTTCGTCAATACCTTCATCAACTGACTCTTGCTCATCAGCATCTTCATCGTCGTCATCATCTTCGTCATCCTCATCTTCGTCATCCTCCTCATCGTCATCGTCATCCTCTTCATCGCTGGACTTCTTACTTGTCACAGCCATCGAGGAGGCATTAGATTTGGGAGTTGCTTTAGTGGGTTTTTTTACAGGCTCTTTTTTAGTTTCTTCGTCATCGTCCTCTTCATCATCATCTTCATCGTCATCATCTTCGTCATCGTCGTCATCTTCATCTTCGTCATCGTCGTTCTCATCATCTTCATCATCCTCATTATCATCAGCCTCGTCATCCTCGTCCTCTGATTCACTTCCGACTTGAGGCAGTTCTAAAATGAGATTGGAAAAAATCATTGCACTTGTTCTTTGTGGAAAGCAGACGACAAAACTGACGCACTTCACTCACCCGTTACTTTCGGCTTCGCGGCCTTTTGGGGCGGTTTCATTTCTTTTTGTGGTTTCATTTCCTTCTTTGGAGCTTGTTTTTGAGATGGATCCTGTGCGATGTCAACTCCTTACCGGTGTACGAAAAGACAAAACAACAACAATTAAATATTTTGGAACAAATTACCACTGCAGCTGCATGTTGAGTTAAAAACAAAATTAAACTTGCATGTCAAGATTACTGATACGTGAGTGAAGTTACCTTCTTAGAAACTCACTTTTGAAGAACAACACCACCTTGCGATCTTTCACGGTGTACGTTGTTGATGTTGCTTTCTGACAGAGTTCGGCCGTGGGGAAAATGACTGTGGCAGTTCTGTAGCAAGCGAAAATAAGTGGGAGTCAAAATTCAAATTGGCAAAATTTTAGCACTCAGATCTATTCGTCTAAAACTACCAGCATGAATTCGACGAATAGGATGTACTTACCCAGAAGATTTTCCATCTTTCCGTAGGTCAATGGAGACTGAGGTAGCTTCGGGAAATAATGCTTGGACATCTTGATTTGTGCAGTCAAAAGGCAGGTTTTTGGCTATTGCTATATTTCGATCTATGCCACCGGCAACAGTGACAGTGAGCTTTTGGCCGGCAATGAATTTGGGGCCTCGGAGGGCCTCACGTCGAGCCTCCAGGGATGGGAACCGAACTGAAAAGGAACTGAAGGGAGAATGTATTAGTTAATACCACACGGCTGATAAGAGAAAGTTTCAAAGGTAGTTTGCCTCACTTTCTAGATACTTTGGTGACTGAAGTTGATCCTGGAAACAGCTTGGCCACTTTTGTCTGGTCGATACCGTCCGGAACTTGAATCACTTCGGCAGTTATGTTATTCGTCTGGAAGTCCGGTGGTGTGACAAAACGAAGGTTCAACTGCAAACAAGGAAGATGATCGGTATATTCTAATATCGTCCCAATTATTCATATCAGATCATATAAGAATATTTTTTCACTCTACCGCAGAACTTGCCTTGGATTTGCCTATTTGACCATTGTTGTGAGCATCAAATGCGTCAGTAGCAGCCTCATTGCTGTCAAAGTCAATGTAACATACTGAAGCTTGTCCGCGCTTCGCGAATCTGAATTTGCTAGCTGTTGTAAAGACTGATTTAAGCTGATCTTCCGTCACACCGACAGGGAGTTGTTCGGCCAGTAATGTGTTAGTCGAGCCTCGGAGATTAGAAAATTCTGGAGTCGCTGAAAGACAAAACAGATCCGTCAATCAATTTGACTAGATATTTAACTCTGAAGAAACTTTGTCACAAGATAGCATGGTCCATGCTCATTAGATTAGTGTTCATAATTCACTCCTGCCAACCAACTGCAAAGATTAGGAATTACTGAATAGAATACTAACTATTCTAGAGTAGTTCCGCAAAACTAGTGATTTGCAACATTGGCAAACATACTTAGACGGCCAAAGTTACCATAAATACGACAGCGAAATGAATAGGGACGAGACCATGCTGTCAACCTATTGGCGCATCTAGCAACGGCCAAACGAAAATGCAATGGGCACCAGATTTGGGAACACTGTCATCCTAAGCAAGCTCAAAGGGAATAACCGCATTACTCAAAACAGAAGTGAAATCTCACTCCACATATACGTAAACCTAGACGAGTTACCTGGTTTATCTTTCCCGTAGATCACTCGAAGCGTTCGACCTTCGAATCGTTCGTTTGCAAGTGAATTCATAGCCTTGGATGCCAACTCAGGGGAGGCAAAGTTGAGGAAGGCTGCATTGGAAAACTTATTCCGGGGACCCTGGCTCAACAGAGTAACCGAGCAAGCCCGGCAGTCTGAAGGAAGCGCTGCCTTGAGGGAGTCCTGCAGAAGAAACAAAACCATTGTAAATTACTAAAAGGTCGACGCTCGACGAATTTATTCCCTTATGATATGTGAAATCCTTGTGTCAGCGCACCAGAGTCTGGAATGTCAAATAAGTCACGCTCTCACTACCTTATAACAAAGAAAAAGGGGAGCGGGACAGTATCAGATTAACCATGTGAGGTCAGATGAGCATTTCGGGGGAATTCAAAAGCGGTAAGTCAGAACCTAACCGATGCTTGAAAACCGCGGATTGTTGTAAATCCGGGGTGAATTTGGTGGGCGAGATGAGCCACTAGCATGGAACAAATCACGTCAATGAATGACTCGGCGGGTTATTTAGTTGTTTCCAATGCACGGATGCTGCTGAACGCAACGTTCAAAAAAAACCGTGGGGTTACTTGTCCGAGTGCGCACAAGGACAAAATCCACGGAGGTCACTCGGATTAAGATGGTCCTAGGGAGGATTCCAAGCCCAGTACTCGAAGCCAGACCACCGCGGAACTATTCCAGCTGGAAGCAGCTTCCGTCAAGGACTTCATTTCTCTGAAAAAGGTTATGAAACGACTGCCGTCCGAGTAATACGCGCAAGCTTGGGCGCACCACTTAGAGAGTGATATACATTGCGCCGAGCGCCGTGGTTGACCACTAGGATGATCGCTGAAATTGGAGGAATGATTAAAGATTCGAAACCGTTCGGCTTTTATCCATGGAGATAAGGCACCCAAGAGGCGATCTTATCGATGCTTTCAAAACGATGAAGGGTTTGACAGGGCTAGAATTGGAGAGCTTGTTCAGTCGAACACCACCGGAGTCCACACAGGGGCCGTCACCTGAGAATGAAGAAGCCTGGGAACAGACAACCTCAGGCGGTAGATGCGTAGAATCAACTGCCAGTTTACCTTTTGGATCGTAGGGTAGTAGCAGTCCAAGAACTGAATGAGGTCTACACAAGGAGCTACCGAAATAATCCTATAGTTGGCATGTCTCTTACTTCCGATGAGTTCCTAAAAGGCGGCGATTCTGGAAGAAGTCCGCTGCAGTCCAACAATCAACAGGCGTTTAAAGCACTGAATGGAGCCAGAATCTGAAAGCTTGGTTGGCAAACGCCCTCATCGTAGCTGGTAATTTGAACTAATCTGACATGCATACATACATACATATAATTAATATATATAACCCTGAATCCCTCACCACTCAACGTAACAAAAACTTCGTTTCACGGTCTTTGTCGGTAATGCGTACGCGGAACAACCTAGTGGATTTTCGAAGGCAACAGCTGTCATACAAATGCAACACCGTGGAGCACCTGTACAATAGTGTACTGTCGTGGTTTCGAAGCTGTGTGACTCTGAAAGGGTTTGAACATACACAGGTTAACCGTTGCAAATATTCAAACCAATGAGCACCATAACATGGAACAGCGTATGTACTGCCAAATTGGAAAATTAAGAAAATTTTGGTACCTCTAGATGCAGTGAAAATAAGCACATTGGGGGCTCATCATCACACGTACCATCGAAACTGACTTCGGTATGCCAGTGACAAATAATGTTTTTGTTGCACCTTCATCACACAAAGCCAGCATTGCCTCCTTTGAACCACTGACTTGGATCAGATGTACAGTGTTCCCGTCAAGTGACAACGGTTTGTTCAACAGAGCAGAATCAACACCTTTTTCTGAATCCATTATAGCGATAGCAACAGGTTGATGCAAGACTTTGATATCGGAGATCATGATGTTACGAGTAGCTAGAAGTTGCTTCACGCTGGTCAAATCTCTCGGTGGGTGAGGTATGAGCAAGTAAGAACCAGGTGGCGAACGTTCACTTGAAGTTTCCGGGACGGATACCACAGGCTTTTTCAACTTTGAACATTTATCCTGATCGACCCCGATGGAGGGAGATATGACGTCCAGGGTTGGCTGTGTTGGCTTCTGTTTACCAACCTTGGCGACGGACTGCGGGGTTACTTTCATCTTTTCATTTTCGGATTCAGATTCCTCATCATCATCGTCACTACCTTCGCCGTCATCACTTCCATCTTCATCTTCGTCGTCCTCGTCTTCGTCATCTTCCTCTTCATCATCGTCGTCATCATCATCTTCATCTTCGTCATCATCGTCATTGTCGTCTTCATCGTCATCATCTTCATCTGATTCGTGAGATACATGTTCAGGCGGCAGCGACAATCGCGGTTTCTGTCGAATTTAAAAACGATGCCAGGAGTTTTACGTTAAACTACATGTTTAATAACCAGCTAAATAATTGCATGCTCTCCTACTGGTTATCAAGAATTAACCAATTAATAAAATCAAAATCCATATAGCACCGAATGAAGCTATATGACTGATGCAATGTACCATTCCATATAAGCTCCGTTACATTAGTGAACAAGACATGCTGTGCGGTAGTTTGTTCGCAGTTTACGGTTTCGAGAAAAGGTGTGACAATCACCATCCTCGCGGAGCGAACCGTAACCTACACGTGACAACCACACGTCTTGATTATATTTTAAAAAATTTAAAAAGCTTATAGTAACTGATAACACCTGAGCAATAAAAAAGGCCACGGGTCAACGGCTCACCTTGTTTTTAGACACGCCATTTAGCATGGACTCACTGGCAGTTGCATTTAACTCAGATTCGTCACTGCTCTCATCCGAGTCGTTCAGAGGTCTTTTGGGCGCTCCTTTAGCGGGTGTGATCTGGGTGGTTTTGGGGGACTTTGCTTTGGGAGTTCCTTTTTTAACCGAGGGTTTGTTGCCCGAGGCTGAAACAACCGGAAAACATTCCAATTACGCAACATTTTAGGTACCCCTAGTGGCAGAAAAACGATCAATAACATGTGCAGTTTATTCGAATGGGCGTTGTTGAAGCCAATATAGATGACAGCAATCGGGCATAATAGGAACTTACGCGACTGTTTGGCAAGGTTCTGTGGGAAGAAGGAAATGGTAGGTGGGTCAACCAGGAAATCCAAACCAGATAACATATACACACAAATGCGGTAGAGCTTACCAAAACCATGGTACGCAGCGACAGGCGTTGAACTGTTGAGGCGTGCAACGGGGCGGATACGAATTCAATCTGGCGCCCTTGAAATGAATGGAGCAACTTAACAAATTTTTCTTTTCCTTCTTTTCCTTCTATCAAGTTTGCAGACGGACTACTATTCTTAGCTTGTAGTTTACTGTATTTTTACTGTGCTTATATTCACGTAGCATTAGACACAGCAGATAGGACAGGACAGGACAGGACAGTTCACAGGACTTGCTGCTTGAGCCAGTAAGGTAGTCCAGTTTCTTGCGTTTACGGACCCTGGGCGTCTCTTAACGCTACGACAGTTGGTTGATCGGTCCTTGGTGGTACTGCCGCGGAGCAGGGACGCCAATCCGGTTTGCTGTCGATGAAAGCAGCATCAAC